ACTTTGCTTTTGCTATCAACTAAAATTTCTTCTCTACCATCATCTCTTATTACTTTTACGGCGTTATAATAATCTTTTTCACTGGAATATGACAAGCCTCTCTGGTCTCAATATCTCTCAAAACCAAACATCTTGGTTCAATTCCCAATACCCACAAGTGTCTAAAAGCTTGCAAATGTGCCCTACTATCATACGATTCAATCAGATATCTTGGAAATAATGCATAGATTAAACCTGCTATCGCTTTGTTAGACGTCAAAAGTGTAAAGTTTCCTCTCCCAAGAAATAAGAATCCTAATGACATGCTTGTTACCATATGAGTTCCATATGAATGCAAAATAGTACTTGAGCTGCTAGTATCAACTTCTTGTCGATGAAGTTTACGTATTCTTCTAGATTTCCGCTACCCGCAGCAACTATTGAAACACTCGTAGATAAAACAATTAAACACGATTGATGGCTGATATTGTGATATTTTCATCGAATGTTGGTGCTAAAAATTTACAAGTATAAATCAGAATTTACATGCATAATTATAACTTAAGGCGAAATATTACCTCTTCTTGTACTTTCCATTCCAATAAATAAATCAAGATGAGAAAGTAAGCATTTAAGTGCCTTTTTATCATCGGATCTTTCATATTTAAGTGCCATACTGAAACAAGCTCCCGACAATATATAATAATACGATCTCTTAATAGATTCGAGGTTATCATAATTAATATCAGAATTATGCGTCAGCTGCATACATACATATATATGTAAAAAACTTTATTTTTGTAATTAGTAATTTTTCATTAATCGATATGCATATATATGCACGTATGATCTCAAGGTCCCTATTTTTTTTACAATACCTTTCAGTGTTGGGTATCGGGATTCCGTGTATCAGGATTTTGAGTGTCGGGATTCGTCGGGATTTTATGTATCAGGATTTTGTTGCCGGGATATTTGTGTCGGGATTTTTTGTGTCGGGATTCTGATATACAACCCTCTGGGGTAGTGATGATGGTACTTCTCTAAAGTGTTTACGACGAATTTTTGTTAACAAAAAGCTACGTTCTCAAAAAGTACTTCGGGTAATTAATTTACATCTGCCAATCAACAATCTTCTGCCTATGACTTGTATCATTATCTTGTATACTCATCAATGATTCTATAATAATTTTATCAGCTTCTAAAAATTGTTTTTTGATTTAATTCTCGTTATCTGAACTTTCATGATTCCATTTATTTATCTCATTCCAAATTTCATAGATAATAGGTCGTTTTGTGAATCAGCTATTTCTATCGTGATTACTCCTAACGTGTAAATGTCAGACGCGCGTGACAATTGCTTTTTTCGCAGAACTTCTGGCAAGATAAGATAAAACACCCACAACTTCAAACTTTTTCCTGAATATGAAGTCAATCCTAGATCTGCAATATACGCATTATCAATATCGTCCTTTAAAATATTCCCACTATGCAAATCTCGATGAACGTATCCATGAGAATGAATTATTTCAGGATCAGTAACTATACAATGTAACAACTTGATTTTCCGTTTCCAATTCATTTTTTAAGGTTTTACTCAAAGATTGCTTAGCGGCATATTCCAAAACCAAAACATATCTGTTATCATTATCTTTGGTTATTCCATAACATTTCAAAAATGATGGATGAGTTTCTCCAACTTTACAATATGCTTTCATCTCTTTAATAAAGTCTTCGCAATCTTTTATTTGAGGTTTTTTAAGTGCAACATACGTAGTTAAATTTTGATGACTTTTATCAAACCATTCCGCATGATATACTATAGCAAATCTACCTCTTCCGATTTCTTTAATATTCTTAAATTCATCAAAAGGGATGTATGATAATTGAAAATTATTATCATTCAACATTGTTTTCAAATCATCACCAACATTCTCATTTTTAGATGCACATTCATACATAACTAATAATAAAATAAAATTATTTTTATTTCAATCAACAACCAAAAATATGAAAAATATGAAAGAATACCTGTAAAGGATTTTTTATCTATTAACTAAGTTAAACTTATAAATATATTTATAAAAAAAAAATCCATTACTATATATTTTTTTATTACTTTTTGTAGCAATCGTTTGCTTGTTGTAAATTTCTTTCCATTCCATTTCCATTTCGATAACACTGCGCGATCGTTACCATACCATAAACATTACTCATTTCAACAGATTTTTTATAATATTTAAAAGCTTTTGTTATCAATATAAGCACCAGTTCCATAATAGTATCAATAACCTACATTAAATGTACCAACTTCATTACCATAATTGCGGATTTATTAAAATATTCAAAAGTTTTGTTTTCATCTTTTTTGACATCAACATCTAATTGATAACATCTTCCATGTTGTAATATCCCATTTGATTTCTTAAGTTCTGCAGCTTTTTGATAATACTCAAATGCTTTTGTTTCATTTTTTTCAACACCAAAACCTTCTCTATAACATAAACCCAACATATTTATTCATTTGAATTACCTATCTCAGCAGATTTTTCAATATATTCAAATGCTTTTATTTCATCTTTGTCAACTCCGATTCCATCAAGATAACAATCTCCAACCCTATATATACCTTCCGAGTTTCCCGACTCTGCTGATTTTTGATAATGTATGCATGCCTCATGTTCATCCCTTTCAACTCCAATTCCTTTTCATAACAACATCTAGCATTATAAGTTCCATTAGCGTCCCTCATCTCTGCTGATTTTTGATAATAAAAGAATGCTTTTTGTTCATCCTTTTCAACTCCAATTTATTTTTCATAACAACATCCAACTTATATGTTCCACTAGCATTCCCACCCCTGCTGATTTTTGATAATATACGAATGTTTTATGTTTATCCTTTTCTACTCCAATTCCATTGTCATAACAACATCCAACATTATATGCTCCATCAGAGTCCCCCTCTCTGCAGGTTTTTGATAATAAATGAATGCTTTATTTCCATCCTTCCCAACTTCAATTTCATTAAAATATCGATATCCAACATTATTTATTCCTTCAGCATGACCCATCTCTGCAGATTATTGATAATAAATGAATGCCTTATTTTCATCCTTTTCAACTCCAATTCCATTATCATAACAACATCCAACATTATATGTTCCACCACCGTCCAATCTTTGCTGATTTTTGATAATAAACGAATGCCTTCTGATCATTTTTTCAATCCCAAATCCATCATCATAGCAAATTCCGACATTGAGTATTCCATCAATTTGCCCCATTTCTGCTGCTTTATTATAATATTCAAATGCCATAACATCATTTTTCTCAACTCCATATCCATTTTTGTATCAATTTCTAACCTGAAATGCATTGCTAGCATCACCAATATCAGCTGCTTTCTTATATGTTTCAAAAGTTATACATTTTTACTTATCAAATTTATCAAATTCAATTAACAGCTTTTTTAATGACTTTAAATTTTTAAAATACATCGTATTCTTCAGATTCTAATTCTTTAGATAGACTCATTTTTTTAATTCTTCTAATATATTATACTCTTTAAATTTCAAGTTTTCGTGCTCTTCAAATAGATGCTGTTTTTTCATGCGAAAAAAATCAATTTTTTTTTTTACTAGAAATTTTTATTTACACACACTTATATATATTTATCATCAATTCTTTTAGTTTAATTTAAAAAAATAATCAATAAAAGTAGAGATTTAGCAAAATCAATTAATAAATGTTTTCTTTTTTGATGTAAAACAGAGATTGGAAAACCAATTCAATGAAATTGAATTTACACCAATCAGCGTTTACTTTTTAATTTATGAGAAAACTGTATTTCTACAATAATTTTTTTGGGGGACATTTTGTTAAATGAAATTTTTTTAAAAGTAACCAAAAATTACTCTAGTTTTTACGAATAAAAAGGATTACACAAAAAATTCGTACGGAAGATTACACATTGTGTAATATTCCCATGTAAATATCGATCAGTACGTGGACAGACGCAGTACTTGCTATTCTAAACTTGGCAACCTAATTTATATTTGTTTGTTACGAATTTAATGAGTGGCGAAAATGATCGTAAAATTCATAAATTCATTATTTCGATAAGATAATAGAGCAAACAATTAAATTATAGTATCCGGAGTTTCGGTTCTCAGGTTCCGCAGCGCATAATTGTTTGGGGAACTCATCACATGGCTTCCACGGAATGCAACTCCGCAATGAATTATTATAATGCGCATACTTTTTGGTGGTATTTATATCTCTTTTAAGTCAGTACGAAAAAAAATAGAACGAAATAAAATGACTTGGCCTGAGAATGTCTCTAAACTTAGTAATGATGAGATTTATGATAAGTTGAAAGGATGTATTTTTGGTATGGTTATAGTTGTCACATATAAACTACTTAGTAATATAATTTCATGTATTGTTATTAAGAAATTTTTGTTACATACGCTTTTTTTAAAAAAAAATCATTAGGTGCTGCATTAGGAGATGCAGTGGGTCTTGCTACCGAATTTTTGAGTAAGAAGAATGCTAAAAAATTGTATGGTGTTGGTCCTATATCTTTTGGTAGTGATAAAGGTTACAAATTTTATGCCGATAGGCATAGAGAAAAGTGGTATGTGGGTGAATGGACTGATGATACTGGTAAATAAAAAAGAATTAAATCTCTAATTTGAATATTTGAATACTATTCCTAATAAATTTCTCTTTGTTTAATAATATTATAATAAATATATTATTATTTAAATAGACCAACAACTCCTTATTATCGATTCTTTACTTTGCTCTAATGGCATATTCAATACACGAGATTTTGCAAAGCACTTAAGCAAATGGGATGAAAATGGCTACCCAGAACTTGGAAATAAGCCACCAAATGGAATCGGTAAAACTGTTGGTTCCGTGTTGAACCATTCAAAGTTCAAGAGGCTACCACATAGTGCTGCTTGGGATGTATGGGTTAAATTTAATTGTAACATGGCCGCGAATGGTGCTTTAATGCGTACTGCAATATTGGGTATTCCGTTCTTTTGGGATGAAAAACAAGTGATAAAACAAACTTTACAGGCCACTAAAACTACTCACGCTGACCCAAGATGTTGTGTTTCTAGTGTTATTGTTACTATTTTAATTTCAAGATTAATTCAAGGAAATATACAAGACGTCATTCCAGACTTAGATGATTCGACAAAGCAAGATATATTGTCATGGATACAATCTGGAAGTCCTAACAATAAGATTGATGATAATATTGATAATGATGATCTTCCAGTGAATGGTGAATCGTCAAAAAGAACGAGCTTTGTCAAGCAAGTAGCAAACAAAGTAGGAACCTTTTTTTCTGATAAAGATAACCGACATACATTATGGCTTGAACGACAGCAAAAAATCCGTGCTAGTTTAAATAGCTCAAAACAAGACCATCAAGAAATTCCAAAAATTCCAGATCCTTTACCTCCTGGCATGGACACATTTGGTGCTGACCCTGAAATATTGGCATTAACAAAATCTGTAGTTGATAGGTATAAATTCATGATAAACGGCATCAATGTAGCAGCACTTAACAAAACAGAACCTACGAAAGGTTCTAAATTCAGTAAATTTCAGACAGATATGAGCGAGAATTCTCTCTTACAACATTGTTTTCCCGATACTTTGGCTGCATTAAAATTGGATGAATCTCCAAACATTGGATATGTTTATAAATGTCTTGGTGCCGGGTTATATTGCTTTACGAGAAATTTGAATCAGCAAAGTAGTGAAGGTGATGCTTTTAAAAAAATTATTACGGAGCTGATTCTGGAAGCTGGGTAAATAAAATGATTGCTCAATACAATTTGACATGTGTACTTAGTATTATATACAATATATTAGTTTTTAATCTATTTTTTTTTTTTTTAACAATTTAGGGACGCTGATACGAATGGGGCAGTGGCTGGAGCTCTATTAGGCACCAGAATTGGATATAATAAATTGCCTAAAGAATGGGTTGAAGGTTTGAAATTTAAAGATTGGCTAGAAAAGAGAGTTGATAGTCTTTGGGCTATTTTATCTAGTAAAGAAGTAAAAATACCTTAAATTTAGCACTTTAGATATATTGTTTACTTGATATTTGACTAATATTAAAGGTACTTTAAATATTTCTCGGAGTTTCTCAACACTAATATTTTATATAATTTTAACAATGAATAGTATAGCTTTCATACATAATCAAGAGATTTAAATTATAAGTTTTTTTGCCTTCATTTTATGCGACGAAAAATTTGCATAATACAAAAAAGGTGTAAATAAATATAAAATAAAAATTCTCTTTCTTTGAGCAATGATTCTACATATTTACGTACTTATGTACGTAACTATGTATGAGATATTTTTAATTTTAACTCTATATAAAAAAAAATTGTGCCATGGATATAAAAATTGCAATAGATTGTCAAATAGGATTCTGATTATTCTAGTTCTGTAGGGCAAACAAAATAGTATGGTTAACTCTTTATTAATCGCATTTCACAAATGCAAACAGAGTAACGCTATTGTAGCTGATTATTTAATTATTTTTTTTTTTACACTATTAATTCAAATGGTTTTTGCACATTTTACGAGTCCTGGGTATTAATTAACTAGAAGTTCATAAGGATAACGTTGTTGTGGTTGCAGAGGCCGTTCATGAGTTCAATAGACTTTTAAGTTTTATACACTACTTCTACCCGACGGAAGAAAAGATAATAAAATGTGCCTGCACATCGGACTAGTTAATGGAACGACCATTCATTTAAGTACACTAATGCCGACATCAATATATGTTCATGATGATGTGTTATCATTCAATCTTATAGGTTTTGATGAAGAAAATGTAGGAAATGCATTGCCGGAACTACCTCATGAGGCCGTCAAACCGTGAGAATCTAAAACTAAGTTCACCCTGCAAACAAAAAGAGAATTATACTTATTCGATGAATTGAATCAAATGAATCTGACTACAATGAATTTGAATAATCTAAATTAACATTTTTATATTCATCAAACAAGGGTTTTTAGTTATCCAAAATTAACAGGATGTTCCTTTACATAGTCATTACAAAGCAATTATTATAAAATGTTAGAGATTATAAGCAATTATTTTTAGTTGCTATATGATTGAATGCATTGCATTGATTAGTATGGTGATTTTGAGATAATAATAATCTAACATTCTTTTTTTTTCTTTAATCAGTTACACTAGTACTTTATTAAGATTCTTGAAACTACTTTGTATTACCCAGTTACCCTAATAGTACCTAAATGCAACCTGTCACACTACTTCAAACAGAAGTAGGTTGCTTGTTTGATTACTTAAAGTTCATGTGTCTTTTTCCTTTTATAACAAGTCTCAAAATTGTCTTTTTAGTTTTTCTTTCAATTTGTTTTTTTTTTGTTTATTTTTTTTCTTTCAACTCTTATTAATTTGTCTTTTTTTTTTTTTGTATTTCTCTTTTCATTTTGCTTGTTATTCTTTCTTTTTTTTCGTATTTATTTATTTTTTTTAAATTGTATTTTCAAACTTGTTTATAGAAAGTATTTTAAGTGGTTTCACTACTGTATTTACAAACTGTTTTCTTTACTTTGTATTTAAAAGTTATAATAGTTATTATTATATTTTCTTTAAAATTAGGTCTTTAATTAATGTTTTTCTTTTTTTTGTTTTTTTTTGTCTCTATTTTTTTGAAGAATGTTATATATAATACTTATAGAAAAACTTGGATTTTTTTCTTTAATGATTTTCTACAATATTATTATATGCATAAATGATGATGCATTCTATAACTTCTTTTCAGAATGTGTTTATTTTTTTTTTTTCAAAATATGTTAATTTTTTTTTCTTATTTTAAACAAATATTATAAATATTATACCAAATATAGTAATATTATAAATACAGATAGTCTTTTAAATATACAGATAAAATTCTTTGAATATTTATAATTAAACACTTCTTTATTATATCTTCTCAAATAAAAAATTCTAAAAAAAAACAAAGTTCTTTGAAAAATTAAATACATTAAACCATAACAAGGAAGATTATTTAAACAATAAAAGCCATATTCTATAGAATATAAGAGACAAATTTCTTAACCTTCATGCTTTATTTAATGTATTTTCTTAAACAAAATTATTCTAAAGTAATCATTAAAGTTATTTATATTGATTAAGAGTTATTGTATTCTAAATAAATAGAAGTATAGTATTATATATAGTAGAATTTGAAAAAATGTTTTGTAAATTAAATATTTGTATTATTGTATACAATAAAGTTTTTAAGAAGTTTAATGAGTTTGAAATATTGATAATTTCATTAATTATGCGGAGAACCAAGATAACGACGGTCAGACCCAACGTACAGGGCAGGCTATAGCACTCTTCGCAGCTGTGAAAACCGAGCTTAAAACGGCGAGCGACCCTACAGAAGATACACAACCCAAATCATTACC